GAGAACATGTTTCAGGGCAGAGAAGGCAGCATGTTTTTTCTCCCCCCACGTAAAAACGATCCCCTTGCATAGTAAATCTGTTAGCGGGGCTGTTAATCGTGCCATGTCGGGGACGAATCGACGAACGTAAATTAACAAACCCTAAAAACTCTGCAGCTCCGTGATGTTCGTCGGGGATGCCACGCTTTTACGGTAATCCAGCTCTCTTGGGGTCGATTTCAACTCCAGCCTCCGAAATAACGTGCCCTAAAAATTCTAGCTTATCCCGGAAAGAACTCGCACTTGGAGCCCTTGGTGAGTAACCGATGTTCTCTAAAATTTTAAACACTGCTTCGAGATCGACTAAGTGTTGCCTGCTGGTCGCGACCTGTAAACGAGGATGTCGTCGAGGTAAACTATCATGCATTTATCTAAAAGTGGCCTAAAACGCCTGTCATGGTCATCTGAAATGTTGCGGGCAGCGTTGGTCAGCCCGAAAGGCATCACCGTGTACTCGAATGACACGTACCTAGTCCTTAATGCTGTCTTGGCCGCAGTCCGATGGTTCGACCCGAATTGGATGGTAACCCCCCCGTAAGTCTATTTTTCGAAAATACCCGTGCTGTTTGCAGCTGGTCGATCAGTTCGTCGGCGCGGGGGATGGGGTATCGCGATTTGACTGTTACTCTGTTGAGCGCTCGGTAATAAATGCACATGCGAAATCCTCCGTCTTTTTTTCGGTGTGAACAGTATCGGTGCGGCGAACGGTGACGAGCTCGGTCGGATAAACTGCTTCTCTAACAATAATCTAACTGTTTCCTTAGTTCGTCGAGCTCGGGCTCTGTGTCAGTCTGAACTGGCGCTGTACAGTTGGCTGTGCCCTCGGTTCTAACTCGATCCTATGGTCATGCGCCCGCTGAGGTGGCAGTCCTTGCGGTAAATCGTCTGGGAAAATCCCCGGGTACCGTTTCAACAGATCCTGAAGTACAGGCGGTACCCGCTGCCAACAGTTTCAGAAAATCGCTCGGCTGCTCCTCTTCTCCTACTAGTGCTATATCCACTGCGTACACGTCAGCTCCGCGGCAACAACCCGTTCATCGTGATGGCGTTGACGTGGACCGTTGAAGACTCGGGTGACTGCCAGCGAGGTAGTTCGACCCAGTTACCACTACTTCGCACGGTTGCAGCTACCCGTCGTCCAGTTGATTCGCGGGTTATACCGTCGCAGCCAATCACGTCCCAATAAAATGTCGTGCCCATCCAGTGTCGTGGCGAGCATTTCCTGTGTAAACCCGAAGTTCCCTCCGCAGCGGATTTTTACTCGCTCCACCTTTTCCCGTATGGCCAGTGGCGTGCCGTCGACTAAGCATGCGTCTATCTCAGGTAAGCAGCGGTTAAGTGTTAACTGCAGTTTCCGTCGCGGTCGCGGTATTAACTAAACTGTGACTTGCTCCTCCGTCAATAAAAATCTTCACTGCTGCTCCCTGTATCTTCCCGTTGATCAGTACTGGGCAATCCGTCGCTGTACCCTCCTTATTCATCCGAGCCCGATCGATGGCGTGAATCGGTACTGTGACTCGGTGAGGGTCGGTCTGCGGTTGGGCGAGCAGGCAGTCCTCGTCAGTAGTTGGCCCAACTTCTACTGACTGCTGGCGTTTCCCTGCCTCTGAGACTCCCTCCCCTGCTCTGCTCCGCGGCGCCTCAGCTCCTCTGGGGCATTCGCTCTTGCGATGGCCCGGCCTATTGCAAGCAAAGCAGCGCCCCTTGAACGGTGTGGCAGCTGCATTCGTTGCGACGGCGTGTACAGTGTCGTGCTCGGTCGGGTCCCCGAGGGCGATGTCCGTAGTAGGACCCCTGGTCTCGGTCGGCGTAGAATGTCGATTTTCTCGGCGAGCGCGAGAATCCTCGTTGAAGTTAGAGAGTCCGCGCAGCATGATTTCGTGCGAGATATCCGGCTTCAGCCCTCCGATGTAACGGTCCATCCGCTCCGCTTCGTGCATGTAGCCGACCTGTTCGCAAAGTGCGAGAAAACCGCTTGTATAATCTTGAACCGACCCGAGCTGGCGCCAAGTGCGCAATCTCTGACGCGCCGATATCGAAGCCGCGATCGGCTCGAAGCGCGCCCGTTAGTCCTGCGCACCACGCATCCCACGTGCTGTATTGGGCGGTCTCACAGAACGAACTCCAGGTGACAGCTGGACCCGTGGGCCCTTCCTCGTGCGACGGTGGCTCGTAGGCGCGTGGCGATGTCACGATGACTCGCCACCAGTCCATGGCGGGGCCCCTTAGCAGCGAACTGCATACCAGATCTTCGCGGCGTCCGACTCGACGTAGTTTGCGTCGAAGAAGACGTTCATCGTGAAGACCCACGTTTGAACCGTCGGACCTCCGCGTTGGCTTGGGTCGAAGCAGGGCGGGCGTTGCGGCTTGAGCGGCATTGGTGCCATAATGGCCTGTTCGCCACTTGTTGCCGCAAATTCCACGTGCCGACGGGCTTCCCGGGGCTCCCGCGGGCTTGGTGTGATCCTGCCTCCCCCCATGCCGGGCATCGGCTGGGCGGCGCCATCCCTGGCTACGCCTGAGCGTTGTCCCATGCTGTCGTGTTGTGTTGGTGTGCCGGACGAGATGATGATCGGCTCGTCCGATTGTGCAGATGCATTTGTCGGTGCGTGTGGTGTCGCCGGAATGTTCACCGTGGATTGTTGACGGGCGAAGTCACGTTCCGCCGTGAGCATCGCGATTTCGAGCGCCGAATCTTCTAGTTGACGCACGAGACGATCAAGCTGCTCCTGCGTCAATGTGGCGAGCGTGGAATCGGCCATGGCGGGGGTGTCGGGCAAGCTCAGCGAGAGCCTCGGTCGTGGCCGTGCGTGCTTTCGAGAGAGCACTACGAGCGGCGGTGCTGTATCGCTGAGAGACGTCTACCCCCCCCCCCAAAATTGAGATAGTGGGGAAGCGAAAGTGTGGATGCGGTCCGAGATGAGATCGTAGGCTCTGAATACCAAGTGTTACGTGTGCAATTGAGTGAACGAACGAGAATTGCACTATCGAAGCAAGAGTACAATGAGCGAAGGCGTGAGCGAAGAATATATAGCGAAACTACAGTGGTAACGGTAATGGACTGTGGTTGTCGTGCGACGAGCCTGGGACTGAGGTTGGGAAAGTGTCGAAGCGGAGGCCCGGAGCGCGGGGTTACCAGCCGAGCCGTGAGGTCGGGGTGCGATGTGCGAAGTTGGCGGGGTGATTGTCGATGCGAGGGTCGCGAGTGGTAACGGTGCTGACTGAGGTGCTACAGTGATGTACGCGTTGAGCAGGGATGCGAAGTAAGGAAAAGGGATTTCCTTACAGGGGTCAAGCAAAGAGAGGTGAAGAGTATATTTGTATGCAGTCACATCACAGTCAATATCTTGTGATGGCTATGATATACTGTGTACTCCTTGTTTGCAGGACACATGCTATCAGGCTTCTTTGTACTGATATGGTATAGCGTTATTCACACTTAACTTCACACAACACAAAATGTACTAAGTACCAACATTACTCACTAGCTGCCACCAATGCCGTCACTTGTGTTAGGCAGTTGTATGCATCCTGCCATGCCACCTGTCACACACCCCCACCCATGTGTTCCTACAGCTGCAAATCAACTTATCATCTCATTCCATGGGATTACCACAATACAGTGCGAAATGCAAGTGAGCGCCCTTGCTCCGGCAATCCCAGTGGGCCTGACTGCACTGATCATGTGTTCAACACATGCAATGCTTTCATGCTAGTCACCACTGATTGGTCCATGCAAAGCTACCCTAGCGAACCCATCAGTATATACTGAGTACACTGTGGTTATGCCACTGAGTTCCCCTCTACACCCTCTGCCCCAGGGCTATTATTTTCCACTGCTGCACTGCAACCCACTAACTTCCCTATTCCGCCCTAACCTTCTAGCAAATGCCTCCACATGCACCATCATCCGCCCCTCCACCATCATCCGCCCCTCCACCATCATCCGCCCCTCCACCATCATCCGCCCCTCCACCATCATCCGCCCCTCCACCATCATCCGCCCCTCCACCATCATCCGCCCCTCCACCATCATCCACCCCTCCACCATCATCCGCCCCTCCACCATCATGTTCCACTCCACCTCTCAGAGTTGCTCCTGAGGCACCTTCATCTGCGCCGCCCTCTGCTACGCTCCTCAACTGTCACTGCATCACTGCATCGTTGCGACAGCTGCGCCTCCATCCCTCAGTGCAGCTCAGTGCAGGCTAATCTTTAGAGCACGCAACTCGTGAGCGCAGTCAGCTTCACTGCCAGCGTGTGAGCTCCTCCACCTTGCTGCACAGCTCCTCCACCTTGCTGCACAGCTCTTCACCCTCTGGAGGCTCCTCAAGGGCCACCAGCACAACCACCATCACCGCCACCACGAATCCGCGTTCTAGTTTTCAGAGCAGGTGAGAGCAGGTCAGTGCAGGCGGGTGAGCTCCTCCACCTTCTTGCAGAGCTCCTCCAGCGGCACCTTCATCTGTTCCGCCACCTCGGCCATGCGCTCCCTCTTGAGGTCCAGGAACGCCTCCACCAGGTCGCCATCGATGAAGGCCTTGCTCTCCACCGTCTTGCGCTCGTTGTGGAAGCTGCGCCACTCCGCGTGTGACAGCCCGCCCACTCCCTTTATCACCTTTGTCAGGCACACCTGCGGGCGCAGCGCGGGGGAAGTGGGGGGGGACGAGAACAGGTGCTCCAACGATGCAGGTGAGCTAAAGCCAGAGCATGATGATGCTTCGAGACACCTTCAACTAGTTTCTGTGAGGCCGCTCAGAGGGATAAGAAGACACGAGTCAGGCCGAGAAAACAGGTGAGCGGGAGGAAGGAACACACCTGAAGACGGTTGCAGGAAAGAGAAGAGGTCCTGCGCCAGCGAGGCGACCACTCCAATTGTCTTTGAGGTGCCTAAAAAACGAGGTGAGGGACACCCGCACACGCACACGCACACGCACCCACCCACCCAGCAACACACGCACCTGCAGGCGGTGCAGGAAGGAGAAGAGGTCCTGCGGCAGCGAGGCAACGACCCCGATGGCGCCGCTGACAGTGCCGAAGAGCAGCGTGGGGATGTTGGCCGTCTCCGAGTCTGGTAACCGCATCACCAGCGACCCGTGGCGGAAGCGGTTCACAAACTCGCCCAGGTGATACTCGCCCACCACCTGCAGGGGGGTGGCAGGGGGGTTAGTTGTGGAGTAGGTTTGTGTCTGGGGAGGCTCAGACATGAGTTGCTGAGTTTTTTTGTTGCAACCACGTTCAATGTACCACCAGAGGTACTCCCCTCAGGCCCTAGTCACCGCATCACCAGCGACCCGTGGCGGAAGCAATTCACGTGCTCTCCCAGGCGGCACTCGCCCACCCCCTCCAGGGGCGGGCGGGCGTTGGAGGGTGTTGGTTGTGTTGTGAGTGGATAGGCATTGACTTGCTCCACCACAGAGATGGCGACACAGTCACTCATTTCCTGAGTTGTTTGAACCAGACTGAAAGCACCCCCAGGGACCACGGGTAGAAAAACGCGAGGGAGAGCCAGAGGATGGTTTGAAGCCCAGCCGCGCACCTCCAGGCGCCCGCGCTCCTCGTCGGTGGGGGCATCGCCGTTCTTGCGCAGGGTGAAGAGGTTGAAGCTGTTCTCCGCGCCGATGTACACGTCGTCGTCCACCACCTCCACCGCCGTCATCCAGTTGGCGTTGAAATCCCGCGCCCTCAGCTCCAACGCCCCCTCCTCTTGCTGCCACGTGGGTGCCGCAGAAAAGCAGTTGGGGAAGGAGGGGAGAGAGAATACATATTATTCACCACACCAGGCAAGAGTGAGCAGTGGGGAGTAAGATGGACAGAGAAGGCACACATAATCCTGACAGCTGTCATCCAGTTGGAAACGGGCAGTGGATATTAAGCAAGGAGTGAGTGTTGCTGGAGCGGGGCATGGTGCGAGAGCAGAGGGCAGAACAGGGATTGATCAGCTACTCACACTCCATGCACACTTCAAGTCGAGCACGCACCTACGCTACGCACCCACCCACCCACCCACCCACCTTGTAGACGAGCAGCGACATGCTCTTCATGAGGTCGCCAACAACGATAAAGTCCCCCCGGCACGCGGTGTAGAGCGCCAGGATGTGCCCGAAGTGCCCACACTCCACCAGCAGCTCCCTGCCGCCGTCGTCCCGCGCCGCCCACCGGAAGAGCTGCACCTTGTTGTTGATGCCCGCCAGCACCTTGCCGTTGAACGCGTTCAGCGTGTACACCGCGCCCTTGGTCTCCTTCTCCGCCACCACCTGTAGCTTGCCGCCCTCCACTGCCAGCACCAGGATGCGACCCTGCACGGCATTGCATTGCAGCACACAGTTAGAGAGAGGCAGCGGCAGCACTGTGGACTGTCCTGAGAGACGCATGCACGCTCTGTGGGGACCCAACAGCAATCCAGCAGCAGCTCTAGGATGGGGGAATTGGACGGGAAAGGTGGGCCGGGGGAGATGGGAGTGGAGAAACGGACAGCGAGGAAGAGATAGGAGCTGGAGACACCTCGATCGTGCTGCGTTGCCTCCTCATTCATTTTTCGCCTCATTCATTAGAGACTATTTCGCACAACCGAAGCGGTGAGGCATGAGCATGGGATGGGGCGAGGGTTGGTCCTTCACTCGCACCGACATCCCTTTGGTGGGTTCTTGCTCGTCAGGACATGCAAGGCGGTGCATCAGAGAGTGGTGAGAGCATTGCTGATGATATCTCCACTCGAGACGGAAAACAAGGCAGAAACCGGAGAATCACTCCTACTGGTTGCACCTTGGTGGGTTCCTGCTCGTCCGGGAAGGCAAAGGCGGGTGCCGACCACGATGTAGGCGGTGGGGTCGTCAGCGAAGCAGCAGGAGATGATGGAGCACCCGTTCTCAAACGGCTCCAACGGTAGGTGCGACAGCTGCTCGAACGTCTGGTCGCTCAAGAGGCGCACGTAGTGGCTCTCCGCCTCCTCGCCGTTCACCTGGGCGCACGGGCACGGGGAGAGTGCGCACGGTGCAGAGGCGAATGAGAGAGAGAGATCTGGGCGACTGTGGTGTGAGTGGGGGAAGACAGCTAACGACAGGTGGGAGAGGTGGTCGAGCGTGTGCACGCTCAGCAGGCGCATCTGGTGACTCTCCGCCTCGTCTCCGTTCACCTGGAGAGCGGGCGTGCAGCGAGCGAGCGAGTTAGAGGTGAGAGAGAGAGAGATGGGTGATTGTGGTGTCACTGGGGAAGGCACATGGTGACAAGGGGGCTGCAGAGGCAGGTGGGACAGAGGCAGGTGGGACAGGTGGTTGAACTTGTGGGCGCTCAGCAGGAGCATCACGGTGACTCCGCGCGTCGTGCCCGTGTGGCTGCTGAGCGACCTGACGAGGGGGGATGGGGAGAGGGATGGGGCGGTGAGCGACCACACCAGTGTGAACCATGTGTCACAGCATTCACTCGTAACGTAAAAACGGAAACACGGGGTGAGCAGCGGAGTGCGACGCACCAGGCTGACTTTAATGGTGGTGACGGCGATGGAGTGCGACTGCTCGTGGTGGCAAATGCGGCGCGGCTGCTCCCTGAGAGGCACCGTGCGGATGTGCAGCTTCTGAATGTCGTCGATGCTGCCGATCGTCAGGTCTCCTTCCTTCGCTAGTGCCAGGCTGCGAGGGCAGGTGGGTGGCAGGGGACACGTGGAGAGAGGTGGCAGCGCGTATGGATGTGCTGTATCCTGCAGGTAATGCGCACGCATGCCACTCAAGTCGCTTTCAAGGAGGTCTCACAAGCTGCTCCCCGAGAGGCACTGCACAGCTGTGCGGCTTCTGAAAGGAGTCGTTGCTGCCCATGGTAAGGCCTCCTCCCTTTGCCAGTGGTAGGTTGTGTAGTTGAATCCAATGTGAGGTGGGGAGAGGGGAGGTGGCAGAGCGTATGATGTGAGAGGTCATGTGTGCGGATGATGTGAGAGGTCATGTGTGCGGATGATGTGGGAGGTCATGTGCGCGGATGATGTGAGAGGTCATGTGCGCGGATGATGTGAGAGGTCATGTGTGCGGATGATGTGAGAGGTCATGTGCGCGGATGATGTGGGAGGTCATGTGCGCGGATGATGTGAGAGGTCATGTGTGCGGATGATGTGAGAGGTTATGTGCGCGGATGATGTGAGAGGTCATGTGTGCGGATGATGTGAGAGGTCATGTGCGCGGATGATGTGAGAGGTCATGTGCGCGGATGATGTGAGAGGTCATGTGCGCGGATGATGTGAGAGGTCATGTGCGCGGATGATGTGAGAGGTCATGTGCGCGGATGATGTGAGAGGTCATGTGCGCGGATGATGTGAGAGGTCATGTGCGCGGATGATGTGAGAGGTCATGTGCGCGGATGATGTGAGAGGTCATGTGCGCGGATGATGTGAGAGGTCATGTGCGCGGATGATGTGAGAGGTCATGTGCGCGGATGATGTGAGAGGTCATGTGCGCGGATGATGTGAGAGGTCATGTGCGTGCCTCTAGCCTCTAGGGGTGCTCATGGTCAGGCCTCCCTCCCAGGCTAGTGCTTGACTGCCCGACAGAAAAAGCAAGGGTGCGAGAGACTTGTGTTGGAGATAACAAACCAGAACGAACCATGATAGCGACGCGAGAGAGAAAGCAGCGCATAGAGTGAGGGAGAGAGCGGCAAAGTATCGGGATAAGACACCAAGCAGAACAACCAGACCAGGGCAACCTAACCAAAACCATGTAACTATAAGCTCATGAATCAGTGTGACCTTCATTTCACATCCCCATAGGAGCTATCAAAGCCGCAGAAGAATAAGAGTGCACGTCCTCTCTCCCCTCATTGACTTTGAGTCAACTCAGAAGTCAAAAGTCCCTTCCCTCTAAACCCACCCACCGTCCCCGTAGCGCACCTGTCGGGGAAGGAGGCGCAGTTGAAGGAGCACATGTGGGTGACCTCTTTGAGGTTCACGTTGGAGTAGAGCAGCTTGCGGTTGCTGCTGTGCACCACTGTCGGCCGGTCCGACGCCGCAAACACGTGCATGGCGTCGCGCGACCGGAACGTGCGCAGCGTCATCGGCTGCGTGCCCAGGGAGACCTTTTTCCGGTCAGACAGCTGCCCGGTCTCGCGGTCGAGGTGGAAGTTGAAGAGGTGCCCGTCGCCCAGCGCACACAGCAGGTACGGCACCTGGGGAGGGGGGCGACGGGTGGATGGGGTGCATGGGGTGGATGGGGTGGATGGGGTGGATGGGGTGGGACGGCAACTGCAGCGTTGGGGAACGGCGGGAAGTAGGAAGGGTAAGTGGGGAGTGGAAGGGCTGGCGGTGAAGACAAGTGTGAGAAGGGTGAGATGAGCGGTGGCGCACAGAAGAGGAGCAGAGGGACGGGAACAAGGATAACAAGTGGCCGCACCTGACCACCCACCTGCTCGAGGCAGCACATTCACACCCACCTGCTCGAGGCAGCACATTCCCACCCACCTGCTCGAGGCAGCACATTCCCACCCACCTGCTGGAGGCAGCACATTCCCACCCACCTGCTCGAGGCAGCACATTCCCACCCACCTGCTCGAGGCAGCACGTTCCCACCCACCTGCTCGAGGCAGCACATTCCCACCCACCTGCTCGAGGCAGCACATTCCCACCCACCTGCTCGAGGCAGCACATGAGCACGGAGCGCGGGATGATGTCCCCCCCCAGCACCTCCTTGTGCACCTCCTCCAGCCCCGGCAGGCGCAGCACGCGCACACTCATGTCCGTCCACATGCCCACCACCGCCAACGCAGCCACGGGCACCGCGCCTGGTGGGTAGCGGCATGTGGGATGCACGTAGTGGGGGTCAAGCGAGACTCGTGGGTCCAAGAGCAACATGGCGCTATCATGGGTTATCGGAGTGGCATCAAGGCACACAATCGCATGCGCAAGTGTCACATGGCTTCTGAGACATGTCAGACAAGCACACATCACATAGCCATCGCTCACGCACCATCCGCCATGGCATTCTCGTCGGTGATGGGGGTGACATCAAGGCACGCGATCTCATGCTCCAGAGTCACGTTGCGTCCTCTCTGTCAGCGTGCCCTCGCCCACCTCCACATACACCAGCGTGCCGCCCCCCGTTGCCAGCAGCACCTGGACAAGAGAGAGTCGAATTCTGAGGCGCTTAGAAAAAGGCTCCATGCGTCCATGCACAGCAGCATGCACCCCCCCGTCCAAGTCATCTGCACCTACCCTACCCTAGCACGTATCCCCTGTTGCCAGCAACATCTGGGAAAGGGGGGTCTCCAGGGTTACACAGCGATATTGGATCTGCCCAAGCCAGCTATTCCTCAGAGTCTCATTGGCTCTGGCACGATGTTTTCACTATGTCGTTGGCTCACTCACGGGAATGCTGGTGGCAGCGATGAAGACTGAACGCTCACCCAAGTGCGTTGTTCAGCTGCTGCACTTGAGTTCACGGCTAGGTCAGATTTCACGTCGCTGGGGAGCGGTTAGCGATGGCGACGCAGTTGGCATTCGTGCATGTACGTTCCACTCTCATTCCCATTCAATTCCATCGACTCCCCCTTTCAACCAGCTCACTCCCGTTGACTTGCGTTAACCTGTACACACACCTGGGAGAGGTTGGCGGTGGCGACGTTGATGGATGCGCCTGCAGGCGCCCGCCACTCGGTCACCTGCTGCAGTGTGTGCGCGTTCACCAGCCGCAGCTCCGATGCCGTCACCTGGGGGGTGGAGGGGGGTGTGTGAGGCGTGAGAAGGGGTTGAGAGGCTGGGTGTGGATGAAAGGGGCTTAGTAGCCCTCGTGCCCACCAGCCGTTGCAGCGAGTGGGCGTTCACGAGCCACAGCTGCGATGCTGCCACCTGAAGGGTGGCGCAATGGAGATGACAGAGATGAAAGGAGAGGACTGGGAAAGAGGATCTGGGCGTCATTGTTAAAGCCTACGTTTGCCTGCTGTGTGAGAGAGAAGCAGAGGCACGCACCTGCACGATCTGGTCGTGCAGCACGTTCCCACAGAAGAGCGTCTGCGCGTGCTGGTCGAAGCCCAGCACGTCCGTCTCGTCCAGCTCGTCCTCCTCGTTTATGGCGAGCGACCGCGTCTCGCTCACAAACGTGACCACCAGGAACGTGTCGTGTGCCTCCCACGTGCCGCGCCGCAGCGACCACATGCCCTTGATGCCCTCCAGCTCCACCGTCGCCTGGTGTGTGCGGCACTCGTGGGTGGGAGGTTAGAGTGAAAAGGTGGATAGAGAGGCAAAGAGGGCAGGTGCGTGTGCGACCACATGCCCTTATGCCCTCAAGCTCTACCATCGCCTGGTGAACGTCACAGGGTGGGAATGCAGGGAAGGGAGTAAGCAAGCAAGCTAACGCTTGTGCTGGATGCTTTGATAGTATGTCGCACAGGTAACATGTGTTCATCTCCAGCCACCACATGCCCTTTGTGCCCTGCAGCTCCACCATCGCCTGCTGTGTGCGGGGCAAAGCATATCACAAAAAGCGCGCGCACACTGACAGCTCGTTGATGAGTGTGAGCGAAACAAGCACGCATAAGGTGTAGGAAAACTGGAGTGGAGTGGGACGAGGGGTGCAGAGGGGGAGCAAAAGGAAGAGAACATGGGTGCACTTGCAAACACCACACGCCCACCTGTTCGTTGATCCCGATGCCGTTGCGCACGACGCGCAGCGACCCGTCGCCAAAGGCCCCCGAGCACGTGACGAGCTGGCCCTGCCCCTGGCGGTCGAGGTCCACCACGGCCATGTCCACGATGGGCCCCAGATTCACAAACCGCTCCATCTCCTCCACGTAGCTGCCCGTCGCTGCTGGGTGCTCTGACAGGCGGATCAGCTGAGAATGGGAGAGACACAATGGGAGGCACGAGCCAGTGGAGAGGAAGGAAGATGGGTAGGGAACAGAGGGGGAGAAGAGGGGGAGGGAGGGGGGGACGGAGAGAGGAGGGGAGAGGAGAAAGGTCGACGTCCACTATGCGCCCCCGCCAGATTCACACACCACATATTCACTCCTCTAAATTACTGCCTAGCGATGCTGGATACTCGGATAATTGTACCAGCTGGGTAAAAGAGATGCATGGAAAAGGATGGGGGGAGAGGGAAGGGGGGGAGAAGATGGGAAGAGAGGAGAGGAGGGACCAGCACTTCAATGTCTAGAATGCATCCCAATCGCTCAGGCCAGAATTAAAAGGCATCCACAACATAATTAGTCCCTGGATTGACAATGTGCTCTCCGACTGCTCAATGGGCTGGTTGAAGATGATGGGGTGATCTGACAAGCATACAGGTTTCTGCCATGCATTTGGACCTGGAAACTGTGTGATCTTTGGTGATTTACATGGGCACCACCTGAGAGAATCACCAGCGAGGATTTGAGGGTTGCCCTGAGCACCTGAGGATCGCCCTGATTACCAGAGAGTCTCCACAAACACCTGAGACTCTGCACAGCTAGGAGCAAGCATGAGAACGACCTGAGAGTCATCCCGAGCACCTGAGAGTCATCCCGAGCACCTGAGAGTCATCCCGAGCACCTGAGAGTCATCCCGAGCACCTGAGAGTCATCCCGAGCACCTGAGAGTCATCCCGAGCACCTGAGAGTCATCCCGAGCACCTGCGAGTCGCCGTGAGCGGAGCCAAGGAAGACGACTCCGTTGTCGAGGTATGAGATGGTGGCGGGGGATGACACGCTCCCCAGTGTCTCCAGCTTCATCGTCACCACCCTGTGTGCGCCGTGTGGGGTCGTGTGGTGTGGTGTGGTGTGCAGTTGTGTGGAAAGTGGTTGCCGATGGAAAGAACGAACACGGGCATAGAGGAAAGGAAGGAAGATGGAACAGAGCTTGTGACGACGGCATTTAGTTACCATGCTACCAGACTGTGAAGAAAATTGTGGAGATGAAGGAAGGAGGGACAGGGAGAAGAAGGGAGTGGGCCATGGCAGAACCAGGGCCCATTCAGTGCACTGTCGACTACAAGCTCAACACATCACAAGTGTGGTCACGTGTTGCTTCAGCACGACGCCAGGACTCAGCAGCCAGTTTGCACTGTCTTTGTCACTGCAGGTCGCCCTCTCTCACCGGTCCTTGTCACTGCAGGTCGCCCTCTCTCACCGGTCCTTGTCACTGCAGGTCGCCCTCTCTCACCGGTCCTTGTCACTGCAGGTCGCCCTCTCTCACCGGTCCTTGTCACTGCAGGTCGCCCTCTCTCACCGGTCCTTGTCGCGGCTGAGCGCCAGCAGCATGAGAGTGCCCATGTGGTCCCCCAGCAGGTAGCGCGAGCCGTCCGGATCCACACGCCCATACGCCTCCACCAGACACTGCGCGGCGCAACGCCAAGGGGACAGGTGGGCAGGTGAAATAGTAGGTGCATGGTGATAGCGAGGAATAGATGAGCTCATTTCCTCGTCACTTCTCCACCAGCCACTGGGCCCATGTGGATACATGCAGACCTACGTGAATGCTGAAACTAACGATGTAGGAACATGGACGAGCGGAGGTGGAAGGGGAGGACGAAGCGAGCGAGGAATGTAGGAAGAAAGTGAGGGGGAAAGAGGTTTCGAGAGAGAGGTAGATGGTAAAGAGAGGAAAACAGCATCCAGAGATCAGGTTTGCACAGCCTCGGCCCTGGGCTATGTGAGTGCTCAGACATGACTGTCACGTGTCCAGCATATCTCCACGGTCCACCCCTTGCAGCTAGGGATGAGCACGAAGGCGGGCCAGGGCCCGCCCAGGTCGGGCCCGCCCAGAAATGCCCCGGGCCGGGCCGCGTCGGGCCATTTCGGCCCGGTTTTTACCCACGGGACAAAGCTGCACGTCATGTGTGCAGCTTGTTTTCTGTCAATGCTAAATCGTAACCCCACCCAGCCCTTAGCGCATAGCCTTTTGCCAAGCATAAGCTAAGATTAGTAGGTTTAGCTAGTCTCTTAAAGTAGGTAGAAACACCCACGCCCATGGGTTCTTAGGGCTTCGCGACATTGGCGTGACAGTTCTGACGGTTGATTTTCTGAACGGCAAAGTCAGCGCTATAGTGTTTCGTTTCTAGGGTTACACTTTCTAACTTTGTTTGCATTTCTATTTAAACGTTTCGACGTTAAGCCTTCTTCTAAGGTTGACGCATTAAAGCGTTTCGCCTTACATTAGGGTTCGATTTTGGGTACTATAATTTCGACATTTTGGAAGGAAACTATCACAGCAGCAGGGCTGGGCCGGCCCGGCCCGAAGGGCGGGCTCGGGCCAAGAGTACCCTTCTACGGCCCGCTCTTCTGCGCAGCCCGGGGTGGGCCCGACCCGGGCCGGGCCCGGCCTGCCTGGTGCTCAACCCGGCTTGCAGCAACCCTCGTCACCTGCTTGCACCCACACACACCTGCTGCTGCCTCATACAAACTACAAGCAGAGCCACGTGGGAAGCACCTTGAGTTGAGCGTCCTTACTGCACCCACCACGATCATGACTGCCCCGCACAGCGCATTCATAGATTTCAGAGCCTATCCCAATGAGCCTGCAGCACCCAGCGGGCCCATCCCATGGGCAGGGCGCACGGCGCCACTGTGGTGCACGATGCTGTGCCCGCCCACCACACCACACCACACCACACCACACCACACCACACCACACCACACCACACCTCACTACTGCCTCCTTCAGCACTCACTTACAGCCCTAAGCCAGCACTCACTTACAGCCCTAAGCCAGCACTCACTTACAGCCCTAAGCCAGCACTCACTCACCATGCTCTGCGCGCCATTGTGGCACACCATGCTCTGCGCGCCATTGTGGCACACCATGCTCTGCGCGCCCATCATACAACGTCACCAACACCCTCTCCCTCCCACCACTGCCCCCACTCAAGAGTCAGCACCGCTCACTGCGCACATGGGCAGTGCCTTGACCACTTACTGCACTCTCTCACTGCTCCACCTCACAACCCACCGGGCGCATGGGCAGGGCTTTGAGCACTCACCGGGCGCATGGGCAGGGCTTTGAGCACTCACCGGGCGCATGGGCAGGGCTTTGAGCACGGCGCCGTTGTGGTAGACGATGCTCTGCTCGCCCACGATGAGCGCGCCCCCCATGGGCGGCGGCACGGCGATGATGAGCGCCGCCCCGCCGTCCAGATTGCTCTGCTGCCACGGCCCGTCCGTGAAGTCCTTGTCGCGCACCTGGCGCGTCAGGGTTGGTTGGAAGACAGGGCTTGAAAAACAACTCTGCTCTCATTGCGCGGCAGCCACCGGCCATGCGTGACGTCCTTGTCTTGCATCTGGGTCCAGGGGGGATTAGAGGGAGTTGGAGGAATAAAACTTCAGAAGGGCTTTTCCCCGAATCACTCGAAAGTTCTCCGCACCGCAGCCATGGGCCGTGTCTGTGTAGCCCCGTGTATCACATCTGCGGACCCAAGGGCTTTAAGAAAATGATCACTTCTTTTCAAAATGATGCCGGCTCCGACCCAAACATGCACCTCCCTGTGAATAGAAACAGGAAACCTGGACGGCAAACGAGGCTCCTCCCATGTGTATGCATTGCACTCCAGGTTGCCTGCCTGCACCTCTGCATCCGTGGAAAGGGCCGCCTGAGAAGCCTTAGAGCGGACCAGCACAGGCAGACACTCTCGTCTCGGTGTGTGCTGCTACCAGTGCGGCACAAGCTTGTAGTTTGAGGCACGAGGGGCAAATCAGAGGATTGTTGAGAGACGTTTGACATCAGATGTGTGTGAAGTTGAGGGTTGAGGTAGCAGTGCTTGCATCTGAGAGCTCAAACCAGTGATTTCTGGCCAAATTCAGGCTTGTATGGCGTGGCCTGTGACACACAGTGTGGTACTGTGTGGCGTGCGTGCGTGGCTGGAGAAACATTCCTCCAGCTGCTGTAATAGAGGCAGAGGACGTCGGTTAAGGGGAAAACACGGAAGGTAAGATTCGAAAGAGATAAGGTTAAAAAAAAAAAAAAAAAAACAAGGCAGTCCGGCGCACGCACACACCTGCACTTGGTATGTCTTCACGTGCCTGGCATCTTTATTGTCCTGCCATGGCACACGGCACGACACAGCACGCAAGGGAGTGCAGACGGAAGCAGACAAGTGACATGAGAAGAACTGCAGCAAGACAAGAGAGGCATTTGCATATAGTGAAGCACCATGAAATGAGTCAGTGCACGAATAACAGTGGCGAGGGAACACACACACAGAGACTGCAGTGCAGCACAGAATCTACCTGGAACACGAGATGGGTGCACCGTGTGTGCACGGGGCAAAGTGGAGTGGAGTGGAGTGGAGGAGTGGGGTGGGGCAGTGGGATGGGGCGTACCTGGTAGAGCACGGCAATGGTGGGGCGTTCACAGGCGAACAGGAACTTGATGTCGATCACCTGCAGCTCCTCCAGCCTGGCGTGCGAGGGGTGTCACAACGAGCACAAGCAGCGGCTAGGGAAAGGGTGAGAAGGAGAGATTTACAAGAATACTCAAAGGCTTTCACAGCTGTGCAGAAACTTCATGTCGATCGCTTGCCTGCAGCTCCTCCAGCCTGGTGTGTGGAAGGTGTGGCGAAACACAACAAGCGACAAGGGGAAGAGTGGGACGATTTTAGATTCGCAGCTTGCAATAATGAGGCGACAAGTGAAGCTGGCTGGACGCTCTGATAGCTAGTTTCCAGTTCTTGGCTGGTCGGCTCTTTGGTTATGACTTGCTGGTCCGATTGTTTCAAAGGGAACGCAGTACCAATTAGGCAAGTGAGGCCGCAGTCATGCAAGAACTAGTGCCAAGGGAGGTGAGAAGGGAAGCTGTCGCTGACTGGCACGCACAGTGAGAAGGGCGTCCTTCAGACTGGCGTCCGTGCAAATGGCCTCCAAAAGCCCATGAACGCCTCGGCCTCTGAGCTCGGCCCATCTCTTAAGTAACGTGCGAGTCGAGTCAGCAGACTCAACGGCGAAACCTGAACCAACCGAATGTGAAAGCTTGGCTAGATTGCCCCCGTAAACTTTGAGAGGGCGGGCCGCGGGATTACCTCAAGGAGCCTGTCGAGTTGATGCGTGTCATTACATGAGCACCGCCGACCTCTCATTAGGTTGATGGGGTTGAAGAGCCCATCGAATTGCCAAGCGGCAAGTACCGCCCGCCTGGGTGGGTGGAAGCACAAACAAGCAGCGAAAGCAAGCCACCCGGGGCGCGGGGCCACAGGCGGGCACCCACCGGATGTTGAAGGCCTCCTTGAGGTGGCCCTTGGCGTCGATGGGAATGACCTTGAAGAGCCCGTCGTACAGATGCAGCCCAATGATGCGGTAGTCGGGGTCCACTATGCCGATCTGCATGCCACACCCACACAGTCAGCGTTGCGTTGTCGAGGGGGTGGGGAATGGGCGCAGGCAGGGATGAAAGACACGGCAAGCAATGGGTGAGTCAGGTCACATGCAGCCCCATGATGCGATAGTCCCGATCCACTATGCCCATCTGCACCACACCGCGTGGCGAGTGAGGGGGAGAGAGGGGGAGAACAAGGCAGGCATTGGGTGAGTCAGGTCCGATGCAGCCCAATGATCGGGATTCGGGTCCACTATGCCAATCCGCACCGCACCGCACCGCGCAGAGTGGCGAGGGGAGGTGGGAGGTGGGGGGTGGGGGAAGAGGACAAGAACAAGGCAAGCAAAGAGTGAGTCAGGTGAGATGCCGCGCCGCCACATGATGTGATGTGAGTATCCGGGTCCACATGATGTGATGTGATGTGAGTATCCGGGTCCACATGATGTGATGTGATGTGGGTATCTGGGTCCACATGATGTGATGTGATGTGAGTATCCGGGTCCACATGATGTGATGTGAGTATCCGGGTCCACATGATGTGATGTGAGTATCCGGGTCCACATGATGTGATGTGAGTATCCGGGTCCACATGATGTGATGTGAGTATCCGGGTCCACATGATGTGATGTGGGTATCCGGGTCCACATGATGTGATGTGAGTATCCGGGTCCACATGATGTGATGTGAGTATCCGGGTCCACATGATGTGATGTGAGTATCCGGGTCCACATGATGTGATGTGAGTATCCGGGTCCACATGATGTGATGTGAGTATCCGGGTCCACATGATGTGATGTGAGTATCCGGGTCCACATGATGTGATGTGAGTATCCGGGTCCACATGATGTGATGTGGGTATCCGGGTCCACTATGCCAACCTGCAGGGTGATGACACGGAAAGTGTGTTGGGGAGGTGGAGGGCAGGCGGTGGGGTGGAGAGGGTGAGGGGGAGGAGAAACAAAGATCTTGTGGGGCAGTTGAGGTTAAATGCAAGCGGGCACGATGATATGGAAGGCAGGCAGGCCAGGGTCTTCCATGCCATTCTGCTGCACCGCACATGGGATGGGGGGGTTCAGTTGGGGAAGTCTGGGACGCAAGGGGCCGACAAGGGGTGGTGCGCAAGTCAGTCACGTCGCGGATTACCCATGAGAGGTTTGAGATTGACAAGTCTCGGAACCACCATGTAATTCGCACGACACACAGACCGGTGAGGACGGAAGCAGGAGGGAGTGGAGAGGAGGGACAAGGGGGAGTCGGGGGAGAGATGGTAAGAAAGGTAGTTTCGGGTGGGCTTAGAGGGACGCACTTGAGAGGAGTTGGAAGAAAATTGTTGCGCATTGGCTTCGCGGTGTGAGTGAAGCAATGAATGAGTAGTGCAGGGCGGCAAGAGGTGCGTGAAATTGCAGAGGGAGAGTGGCAGACTGATGGCAATACCTGAAAGCTAGCAAGGAAGGAAGGAAGGAAGGAACCTACCTGGCCATTGTCTGTTGGTCGCCCGATTCGATCAGAGACGTCCCCATTGGCCCTGGTGGGTTCACTCAGAGTGACAGAGGCAGGCGCGAGAGCAAGAAAGGCAGGAAGAAATCAAAGTCGGGAAAAAGCAAGCAGAGGAAACGGCAAGACCATTACTAGCTGGCTGGCAGCTTGCGTTGCGAGGAAGGTGGCACTCGCTTGCAGGTAGGTAAATGACGCACATACGTAGCAAGGTGCATGGCATACCTGGTGATGAGCTCCCTGGAGAGGGCGTCATACTCGAGCACACAGAACTTGTACCGCTCCGTGCATATGAACAGCAGGTCCTTCAACTCGCCCTGCCGTGCCATGCCATACCATGTGCCATGCCATACCATACCATGAGCGATGCCAGGTGCAACGCCATGTGATCCCATGTCAAACCTCATGATATTTCGCTTTGCTATGTAAGAATACTTCACACTTACCCCACATTTCCCTCCCCAACACCTCCACTTATTCCCTTCATCCCCCATCTTTTGTTCACTCCCTCCCTCTTTTACTCCTGCCCTTTCTTTTCCCATCCGTCCCTCTGCTCAACTTCCTGAGTCCTCTCCTCTTGCTCGCTTTTCCTCCTCTTTTCGTTGTCCCCCTCTCTCCCTCGATTTTCCTCCTCCGTCTCTCCTTTAATTCCCCATCTCTGCTTTCCTTCCTTCCTCCCTCCTAACTGACACGCGAACGCAAACACACGCACACACACAACCCGCACACCACACTGAAGCTGCCAGCACAATGACATGGGTGCGGTGCGGTGCAGGAGCAGAGCGGCGGGGCACGTACGGGCGGTCGGAAGAGCTCCATGGTGGCGATGCGGCCGTACAGCGGCACGTCCACTAGCGGCTGCGAGCATGCCATGCCATGCACGCACACATGCAGTTGCAGAGAGACGCACACACGCACACGCATGCACACGCACGCACAGACACACGCACGCACAGGGATGGTGGGGAGTCGGCATGAGAACCGAACCGGGTAAAGCAGTCAAACAATCAGATGCAGTAGCATGTGTGGCCCGTGGCCCGTGGGTGTGTGTGCAAGGTGATCAGCTGAGTGAGACAGTAACAAGACTTTAACTTGCAAGAGACGACAACAATGAAATTCAAAGTGAAAAGAAACAGGAGTTTTGTCAAACAGATGCGAGGAGAGAAGAGCACCTGAAGGCCCTTTGGGGTGAGAAGGTAAATCTCCATCCTCGTGGACTTGCTGCACAATGGGATTCAGCCAGTGGAATCCACCCGCACACGAATTAGCATGCAGCACAGTCTAGCAGAGAGCAGCAGCAAATGCACCCAGTGCAAGCCATGCCCACGCGCATGAAACAGAGCAAAGAGAGTGAGAGAGAGTCGCAGTGGATGCTGAAAGGCAGAAGCCTCAGGCTGGAATCAGGCGCATGGGCCCCATGATCCCGAGAAAGGCCTGAAACGATCAGATTCGCATCCCAGACGTGCTCCGTTGGCTCAGTTTGAATCGCACCGCACGGATGCTTTGCTCCACACACAAGGCTCATGCGGACGGACGGCCCGTCTGATGGGGACGGACGGGCAAGGCATGCATGTGCGGACGATGCTCACCCAACAATTAGGTTCATGTCGTGGGTCCCTGTGAAGCTGCCGACCAATGAGTGCGTGACAGCTGTCGGCTTATGCGCCGTGACGACATAGTTCCAGATCGACATGTTGGACGGCGAATCCGGGTGAAGCGCTTCGGACAGTGGCGGAGCGGACTATCGCAGAGCCAACCGTAGCGGAGCGGACTGTAACTGAGCGAATTGTAACGCAGCAGAGCCAGCTGAAGCAGTTTATAACGCGCAATTCTCCGATAGGAAGCTCTAAGTCGGCAATAGCCTCCGGCTACTGACTAACGTGTTGTCCAGGTTTTCCCGACTCCAACGACTGCCGTGTTCGTTAGGAGGGTACATAGGCAGGTTTTGTTACATAGCACGATCGATCGTCCTTGGGGTTATTTTTAAAGCACGGTGATGATAAACGTTTTTATCGTCTAATTTATAACGAGGATAGATGATAAAAACGTTCGTTAGGAGGGTACATAGGCAGGTTTTGTTATCGTGAAATTGCACCGTTTTAAACCGTGACAAAATACACATTACCGCACTTGATGAACAGCAATGTACGAAAAACGTACGCGCTGGACCCGCCCTACCTGCTCTAGACTTCCGAACCACTACCCCACTTCCCCCTCATTGTACACGGCTTTACACCGTTTCCACTTCGTTAACGAGTAACTCACAGGCAAATTACCGCCCCATTGGTGATACACTCGCGCTGGATATTGAAAAACAAAGGGTTTACAGTCTTTATTCACTCATGTCGGGCTACAAATTGCAGTACCGTAAGCTTTAAAGAATTCAACCGGGTATGACACAAATTTCGGTTACGCAAACCTAAAAGCCCGTGTTCAGGGTACAATCACATTTGCGTTTTCCGAACGTGACTCAATGGTAAAACACATGTACGGTACTTGATAGGCAGGTACGGGCGATAGGTGGTGTGAAGAGTGGAATACATGTGGTACACGTCAGGGTCCTGCGACCACATGTCTGGTGGTTGGGGGAGGGGACAGGTGTAGAGAGGTGGTGATGGGAGGGAATGGGGGAAGGCAGTCAGGAGGGTATGCAAATGGTGTGTATGGGGCGTGGAAGATGCTCATGTGGTACTCGTGAGGGTCCTGCAACCACATGCATGGTGGGTGATGAGGATGTGAATGCGGATGGGCGGAGGGGTGGGACAGGCACCCAAGGGGAATAAGAGTCTAGGAGTGAGTGGGGCGTGGAAGATGCTCATATGATACACGTTAGGGTCCTGCAACCACACGCCTAGTGGGAGGGTGGGACGGGAATGGGGATAGGTGTGGGGATGGGCGGAGGGGTAGCGGAGGCAGTGAAGGGAAAAAGAACCAACTAAGCTGAATGGTGCAAGTGAGGCGTGAGGAATATGCCTGCGTGTGTGGTAGCGATCAGGGTCCTGCAGCCAGACACACGCCCTGGTGCGATGGTGGGACGAGGATGAGGATCGGCGGGGATTGGGGGAGCTGCACGGGAGGCAGTGAAAGCAAAAAAAACCATTACATGGTGCAAGAGTCGTGTAGAGAAATTTCAGGAGGAAAAATAACTTATAGAGGTCTGGGTTCGGCAGCTGAAGGGAGGGATGGGGATGGAGGGATGCGGCTGCTAAACCCAGACCTCTAAAGGGGCGGGCGAGGCATCCAGAGATGGCAACATGAGTGAGGCGTGGGCTAAGCCACACATGTGGTGGAGAGCGGTGCCGTGCTCTTGAGGCGCCTCAAAGGAGAGCAGTGCCCTGCAGCCCGCCACTATCCCACGATTCTTTACCTCACTTACCCCACACCCTTCCTCATACCTCCCATTCCCCTCCTTACATCATCGCGCCTCACCCACCTCCTCGGAAGTAGTGCAAGGCGTTGCCCTTCACTGTCTCCTTGACTCCCCCCACCTCCCACACCTCATCCTCACATCTACCACACCTCACCTCTCATCTCATTCAACCCTTCACATCGCCACGCCTCACCTCCTCTCCTCCCATTTCCACCCTCACATTGCCACACCCCACCTCCTCCCATTCTCCCCCTCACATCGCCACACCTCACCTCCTCCCATCCCCCCCAGACATCGCCACGCCTCACCTCCTCGGAAATGGTGCGGAATGTTGTCCTTCACCCTCTCTCTGACTCTCTACCCCACTAGTCCGCACCTCCTCCCATCCCCCCCATCACATCGCCACGCCCCTGCTGCCGTGCTGCTGCGGTTGCAAGCAGCTGCCTCGATTGCTGCGCTGCTGCTTCTTCTTCCTTCGCTTCTGCGCCTCGTTTTGCTGTTGGGGCTGCTGTTGAGGCTGCTGATGCGAGTGCTGCCGCCCCTGATCGTGGTTCAAGCAGGGACGCCACCACCGTATATGCTATCACTGCCCTCATCTCCATCTCACTCCACCACCTCCCCCCTTCACCACTCCGCTTTCATTTACTCCCTGATCCTTCATGTTCTTCCCTGCTCCCTTTCACTCCCCTCCATTACACTCCCCTCTCCATCCTCCACTTCACTCCCCTCTCAATCCTCCCCTCCACTCCAATCTACACTATCCCATTCACTCCCTTCTCCATCCTCGCTCTCACTCTCCCCAAATCCGCTCCCCTCGTCATCTTCTTCCTTTAAGCCACCCACTGTACGCTCTCCCTCGTCCAGGTCCACTGTACCGTGAATCACCATCTTCCGCCGTCTTGACAGCAGCCGGCATTCAATGACAACGCATGCCTACAGGTTCCCCATCTGCTGCAGCCTCGTGGGTAACCAAGCCAGCCGTTTGCACCCAAACAGGGTCAAGCCCTCCAGTCTGGGCAGCTGTGAAAAGGTTTTGGGCAGGCTGCGGAATTTGGGCAGTGACACGAGAGAGAGGTCCTTTAAGGACGAGAGCTTCCAAAAGTCATCTGGAAGGCACGAAATTCCGAGATCGGACAAAACACACGACTCCAGCTTGCAGAGATCAGGAAAGGACTCGGGAAGCCTGGTTAGGCCCGGGCTGCTGTAAATCTTAAAAGAGCGAAGCTTCTTAAGCTGACACGTCGTTTGGGAAGCTTAACAAGAGATTTCCAGATTTCTTACCGACGGGAAGGAGCCCAGCAATGGGCCGAGCAGCTTCAGTGTAGGTTCCCGGATCTTAAGGCTCTCAAGGGATGGCAGCAACACACTCTTGTCCTTCTCCTCAGATTCCCCACAGCTGCCAGCGGCACTGCTGCAACCGGTGTGACCAGCTACCTCAAGATGAATGCTTCCCGCCCCAAAGCCATAACCATACGGTACGACTGCCCGGTGTTCGTCCCAAAACAGCGACTTCAGCGAGCTGCAGTTACTCACTTGTAGAGATTTTAATCGCTCCAGCTGACACAGCGAGCGAGGGAGCGACTTCAAATTGGGCAGTCCATGAAGCAAAAGAGTTTCAAGCCCTCCCAGCCGTCCGATCTCCTCTGGCAGCGCCGTGATTTGCATGCAGCTGACAACGAGGCTGGTGAGAGAATGGCCGATGGCAGGGAGGGAGGCAGGCAGGGCGGACAGGTGCGGCATGGAGGAGAGAGAGAGCTCCTTGAGGTTCGTCAAGTGGGAGAACCCGCCTGGAAGCGTATCTAAGCTGGTTGCATGACGGATTTCCAAGGTTTCGAGGGATGAGAGGCCAGAGAAGAACGGAGGGAGGTGCCTGAGAGCTGGGCATGCGAGTAGAGTCAGTCTGTACCGTCGTTTCATCAGATCAACGTGGAGGTCCGTCAGATCTGGACACGAGTCCGCAATCCCGGAGAGGAGATAGTTAGGAAAGGACGTGATGCTGCTCTTGGCGAGGACGAGCTTTCGGAGCCTTGGGAATGACGAGAGGTGCGCGAGCAGCTCGCGAGGACGTATGCGGCGCTTTTCGTGAATGTGAATGTGCTCGTGCACGCGACGGGCGATGCGATGCCATTTCTTGCACACAAACGCGTGTTGGAACTGACCGTCAGATAGACCGACGATACGAAAGATAACGGAGAGAAGATCGTCTGACAGCCGTCCGATTGGTGATGCAGCACGCATTCTGTCTTAGTTGATTAGTTGCAAGGGCTAACGTAAGTGCTCGAAGAAGACTAGTAAGGTCGTAGTGAGAGTACTCAAAGGAGCTCACAAATAGAATGAAATAATCAGCTGGCGTGTGAATCCCTAGGCAAGAAGCTCTATGTGGGAAAGCCGCTCTGGAAATTCTTGTGCAAGAAAATCTGTGGGAGAGTCGATGTGGGAATTGGTAAGCAAGAAAGGCCTTGTTCTGTAGGCGGACTGGCCTCCACACAAAATTTCCGGGACAGTCTTTCCTAGAAAATTCGTGTCGCATCCAATCAAAATTGTCACCCTCGGGCCTTGTTGTGTAGGTGGACAATTTCCAGCATCTAGTTTCGCATTGATAACTGATCAATTGCTTATCTAGGTTTGGTGATAAGCGCGTGGATGCCAAACCTACTTGCGCCAAATTTGACGCTTCTGCCTGCAGAACACCACTTTTGACCCGCACAAATTTGACCGTGTGCTGGTTCGAAGCAATTGCTTCGCCTGGCAAACGGTCGCACTAGTGCGGGGCTGATTCAACCTCCAGGGCAAGCATCAGCCAGCGCACAAGTTATGCGGGGCTTTGGATCGCGGAAATGCATTGGATATGCGGGGCTTCGTAGCAACAGCATAGATCTCAGCCTCAGCGGTAGAGGTCGAGACCGAGGAGGAACGCGTGGACCTATACGAAACAACTCCAAAGCCCAAGCTGAAGCAGTACTCCTGAGTAGACATGCGAGGCTCGGCGTCGTCAGCGTAAGAAGAGTCACAGTGTCCAGTAAGTACGCTAGACTGTCTCCCTCCAAGAACCAGCCCCACACATGACACCGTCGCTAGGTACTTCGCCACCCATTAGCAGCTGTCCAGTGAACTAGACTGTGTCTCCCTAGCGCAACAATGCGAGCAAGGACGCTAAGAGGGAAGGCGAGGTCTGGGCGAGTACAAGTCATCAGGTACATGAGGTAGCTCACAAGCTCTGCATAGGGACCACTAGGCTCAAACGGCTCGTCAGAAAAGGGTCCAATGAGTTGGTGGTCAACGGCAAGAAGTGTACGCTGTACTGTGGAGTGCTGAAGCTCGAA